AGAACTCAGGACTTCTGTCTCTCAGGAGTACTGTCTATAAACTATATACAGGCTGACTCTTACTACTACCCCTCCTTACTTTATCATTCTGTTCCTTTGATCACCCCTTCATTCCTTGATTCATTCTATAGTCTCTTACTCTTTGTCTATCCCTTCATTCTTTGTACATTTATCTTTGACCTTCCCTTCCTTCATTTCCTTGTGATTATTTCATTCCTTGTAGCTCATCATTCTCTGAGCACTCTTATATAGTTTAGTACATATAGGTGTACAAGATCAGACTAGTCCTGTAGTCTTGATCTTGTCTACTCTAGGTAGTCCTGTACTCTTAGGCTCACTCTATATACTCTACTCTTGTCTCACACACTCTCTCTGTCCATTCTGTAAGTTCTGACTATGTTCTAGTACTTATACTCTGTATTTCTGTTATGTAGAATAGTTGTAGTCTGAGTCCTCTTACTAAGCCTTCAGGTTCCCTCTACACTGTTACTGACATTAGATCAAGACTACCTATTACTACCCTATAATTCTCCTACACTTTGAGCATTAGTACTTACTATTGTGTCAATCTCTTCTCTTTGTTCCAACCCTTTTACATTTTTAAAAATTTAAGCTTTCTAAACCCTTTTAAACTTTTACCACCCTTCTTCTATTCATTACCCCTTTTAGTTTAGTGTTAATCCATTTGTAGTATAAACATGGACCCTTTTGAGCCAACTGTCACCCCTACTGTCCTGCCAGATTAGTAGTTACAAGTAGACCTAGCTTAATATGTACAGACCTTTATCTAAGAGGCCTTTACTAACTACATACCTACAGTCTAGCTACAACCTATTCCAATTGTTCTGGAAGTTGTAACCTGTTCTAGAAAGAAAGTGTATGTAGCCTGCTCTACAGACTTTAATGGACAGTACTTTAAGGACTTCTAGTACTAAGTTGAACTATACATAGCTACTACTTTAACTGATCTATCTTCAGACCTTAATTGTGTCTTATTTGTCCTCTCCTTCATGAAGGAAGGCAACACAGCCACCTGGGCCTAGAACTGGATCAAAGGACATTGAATTGGAAGCCTGATCTGACTTCAGAACAATGAGTCATACTCAGAATTCATAAGACAGCTTTGTACTTCCTTCATTAATCTGAACAAGAAGTACAATGTGTAGAGTAAGCTTGTGTCTTTGTGACAGAGCAAACATTCTGCCAATACCTTCTTTCAAGAGTTTGACATCCTGGCCCAGAAGGCAGGATTCACACTCAGGTTCAATAATGTTCTTATTAGAATGCTTGAAAAAGCTCTTCACCTAGAACTAGTTAATAAGATTCTCAGAATAATACTAGAACTAATTACTTACACTGATTAGAAGACCTACACTATTTCCTTCAAACAAGCTACAGTTTGGATGTGTCAAGTCTGTGTAGAACAACTACACATGTGTCTAGCTCTGATAGTTCCAAGCCCTTAGATTGATCTTGTTAGGATTGTAGGATTAGACCTATTTCATTTTCTTCATATTTCTATCAGTTTTACAAAAAACCAACATTACTACTAGATTTTCATGATCCTTAACATCTCATCTATTGTTCTACAAAGTTTCATAGAGATTGTATCAGTATTGAGTGTAGGAGAGAGCTACAGAGACACAAGGTAGTGTATACAATTACAACACAGCCAATCTATTTCTTGCCCAATATAGTAACTTGTACCTCTTTTGTGTAATGGCCTCTTAGTCTATATTCTTTGATACACAACACTCTGTTAATTCTTCTAGCCTCTGATGTGCCTGTTGGCTTTACAATATTTGTTCTTATTATCTCTTTTATCTTATTCTCAAGTTTCATTCCTCACTTTACTCTTATTATTAAGTTATTATAAAAAGCAACCTGTAAATACAGTAGTTCCTCAGTTTTTTGACTCTTCTCATATTCCTACTTGTTCTCCTAGCATAAATCCTAGCTGGTAGCTTTGGGAATATAGTTGGTTTAAGGGCTGTAGGTTACATTTACAGTTTGAGAGTACTATCAACCTAGAGAACACTTCTCCCTTAACATAAGAGTTAAAAAACTTGTCTCTACCTTAATACTACTCTTAGTCTGAGCTGCCACTCAATCAATACCCTCCTAGTCTGAGCCACTACTCAACTATCCTCTTTATCCAATCCTACTCTCTCTCAAGTCTGAACCACTGTTTGATTCATCCTACATATAGTTAGAGCTACTACTCAACTATCTCTGACTCAAGCTACTACTCAGTCACTCCTCCCTACTCAATCCACTCCCCAATCTGCCCAATCTGCCTAGTCCAAGCTACTACTTGATTGGTTTGCTTAAACTGAGCCACTACTTGTTTGAGTATTCCTTACCCTCTTTATAAACATACTTTTACTTTCTTAAAGAACTATTAAACTGATTTACTATCCTATTAATTCTATATTGTCCCTCACTCATTTGTTACTTCATTTTCTATAATTTTATACTCTACTCTTAAGGTTGTATCACTACCATCCTTCACTCTCTTTCACTCTTTTGAGTTTGTATGTTGTCTTTACAATTTGTATAGCTACACTCTTTTCTAAATGCTTTTTGACCTACTACTTGTAAAGCTCAACCTCTAGCCTTTGTTTACTGGTTGACTAGAGCCTCTCTCAAGTAGTAATACCTTTAGGGACCTTACAGTCTGAAAGTCCAGCATTGTCTTACAGTTATTTAGTGTTATTGGATAAGAGTCACTAGATTGTACTTAGAACAGAGCACATATAGACAGTTTAAGAGTTTAAAACTAAAAGATTAAAGTTGCCTAAACAGTAAACTAGTTGAAGGAACTGTTCCTAGAACTTATACATTGTTCATACTTATTTATACTAGCCTCTAACAAAGACCCAGACTTTTTAGAGCTTGCTCAAGTATTTGAAAGAGTATTCAGTGCTTCAGAAGTTAATTCATCAGAGCTAGCCTCAGAAACAATGTCAAATCCTTCAGGAAACTCTCCTGTACTCTCTCACAAGCCTGTACTACTCTAGTAAGGTGTATATATACACTTAGACATGTATTCAGTCTCTTAGTTGATTACAGAAGCCACCAGTTAAGCTGTAGCTATAGTAATACACTATACTCCTTCTAGAAACTCTGGAAAGATTGCTACTACTCCTAGAGAGTACAAAGGAGACAAAAATTATTAGGACTTTAAAAGAGAATGTCTCCTGTATATTCTAGCCAACAAAAGAGCCTTCTATAACAGTCAAAAGAAGATACTCTTTGTGCTTTCTTATCTAAAGGAAGGGACAGCTACTATATAGGTAGAAAATTGGGTTACTCAAAACACAGACACTAATAGCAAGATTTCTTTACTAACAAACATTCTAAGAGTTTATTAAGTAACTAGGGAAATCATTTGATGACCCTAGTAAGAAGGAAACATCTATCCAGAAGCTTAGGAAACTCAAGTAAGGAACTTGCTCTACAGATGTCTTTTTCTAACAGTTTGAGATCCTTAAGACTGAAGCTGGACTAAGTAGTAAAGTATATAATACTATATTAATTGATTTACTTTAGTATACTCTTAATCCTAAAGTACTTTGACAGTTAATACATTTATTACCAGTCCTAAGTACTTATAAGGAATGGAAAAAGTATGTAATTCAGATTGACAATAATGAAACTTGACTCAGGGAGACTCTTACACACAAGGGACTCTCTAATAGACAATCTAACAATTATCTACACTTCAATCTTCCTAACAAGGCTCACAACTCTCCTCAATCCAATCCTACTGTGTATTTTAAAGCCCTAAATACACAGGCAAGTTCTCAACCAACCTTACATCCTTTCAGGTTGACTCCTAATAGAAAAACATTCTTGAGAGCTAGACAACTAATGGACATCTCAATTAACAATACTAAGAAAAATCAAGCTTGTTACATTTGTGGAGAGATTGGTCACTTTGCCAGAGTTTGTCCTTCTCAGTATTAAAGAGTTAGGATGATTCTCAGAGCTATAGGACCCAAGGAGTGGTTTGCTTTTGTAGAAGTAATACAGGAATTAGAGGAAGGGGACTTCATAGATGAAGAATCAGATGAGGAACAGATTGAGGAAGAGGAGTCTTTTGCCATTCCTCAGGTATAGACACTGTATTATCTAAGGAAGAGCTAGAACAGAGTTACTATTATGTAAATAATTAATACTAGACATCTGAATCAAATATAGATGACTATTGTTTGTACTATAATACTCTGGACAGTAAAGACTCTTATTTCTTTGATGAACCTCTTGATTCTGAAGTCTGTGAAGAGGTAGAAGGTGTAGGAAAGGTTTTGAACATCTCTTATAGACTTGTAGGCTCAGTTTCTCCTAGGGAAGCTTTGTACATTTGCTCTAGCACTGGAAGGCAACTGGATATGTTCTTGACAATTAAAACAGATCATGGACTCATTAATACACATACTCTAATTGATTCAGAGTGTACTGGATCATACATAGATGTAGGTTTTGTTAAGAACAACAAGTTAACAACATATCCTTTTAAGAATCCCTTCCCAGTCTTTAATACTAATAGTACAAGTAATGATGGAGGTCTTCTAAAGGACTATGTTGAAGTGGAACTCTCTGTTAAAGTGTATACAGAGACAATTTGTCTGACAGTCACTACACTAGTATTTAGTAATATCTTTCTAGGATATGATTGGTTAAACAAGTATAATCTGGAAATTGATTAGGGACAAGGTATTGTGTCCTTTACTAAATGTTCAGACAGTTGTTCCATGTCCTTGAATGAACCAGAGACATATCCAGATGTCCTAGAGTACTTAAGGAGAACTAATAATGATCCCACCCTGGTTTTTATGATCCCTCACTATCTTAAAGTATACAAGAATGTATTCAGTAAAGAATCCTTTGAGCAGTTACTAGAGTATTAATCTTGGGACCATACTATTAATCTAAAGCCAGATTTTAAGGCTACAAATTGTAAAGTATACCCTCTAACTTCTAGAGAACAAGATACACTTAAGGATTTTATTTCTGAGAATCTGGCTTCAGAAAGGATTCAATATTTAAAGTCCCTCATAGTATTGCCTTTCTTCTTTATTAAGAAGGAGGATGGATCTTTGAGACTAATCCAAGATTACAGAAAGCTCAATAAAGGTACTATTAAGAACAAGTACCCTCTACCTTTAATTCAAGAGCTTCTAGATAAGGTCAAAGATTCTAAGTACTTTACCAAGCTTAATGTATACTAGGGATACTATAATAGTTGAATCAGGGAGGGTGATGAGTAGAAGGCAGCTTTCAGGACGAATCTAGGATTGTTTGAGCTTACAGTCATGTTCTTTAGTCTCACAAATGCCCCTGCTACATTCCAGGGCTTTGTAAACAATATCTTTAGTGAATTAATTAATGAGGGATCAGTTGTTGTCTATCTAGACAATATCCTTATCTATTCTAAAGATATTGAAGAGTATAAATGCTTAGTTTAAAGGGTTTTCACAATCCTGTAAGAGAATCACTTATTCCTTAAGCCCAGAAATATGAATTCAAAAGATCTACTACTAAGTATCTTGGACACATTATTGGGAACAATAAGATTTGAATACACCTGAAAAAAGTAAAGCCTATTAATGAATGGCTAGAACCAAAGAACTTGAAGCAATTACAATAGTTTACTGGTTTCTACAACTAGTATTACAGATTCATCAAGGACTATAGCAAAATAGCTTGTCTACTCACTAAACTAACTAGGAAGGTTCTATTTACCTGGGGGAAAGAGTAAAGAGAGGCTATAGAAGAGCTTAAGAGACAATTGAGCTTACAACCTGTCCTTACAATTCTAAATGAGTATGATCTCTTCAGAGTAGAAGCCAATTTGTCTAATTACACACTTGGAGCAGTCCTTTCTCAAAAGCAAAATAGTGTATAGTATCCTGTAGCATTCAGATCTCAATCTCTAAACTCTACAGAGTAGAATTATAAGATCTATAATAAAGAAATGCTTGCTATTGTTAAAGCTATTAAGAACTAGCACTAGTACTTATTGGGAGCAAGACAAACCTTTAAAGTATGGTCTGACCATACTAATCTGACATACTTTAAGGCTCCCTACAAGTTAAACTACAGACAAGCTTGCTAGAGAACAGAACTAACAGACTATGACTTTGTTTTAATGTATAAACCTGGAAAAACACTTGTAAAAGCAGATACACTGTTTAGAAGTCCTCAATTTGATAAGAGAGAGCATGATAACAAAGATGTTACCTTCATTAAAGACTCCTAGTTAAGAGGAATAGTGTATACAGACAGTAAAGTCACTCTGTAAAAGATCCAGAATGCTCAGAAGGAATTATTAGACAAAGGAGAGAAGTACCCAGCTAGTATACTCATTAGAAATAACTATATGTGTAGGAATTTGAAGATATATGTTCCATTAGACCTTGTACTAATGGTTCTGAAGGAATATCATGATTCCCTGCTTGTAGAATATCTAGAGTATAGGAAGATGCTTGAAATGATCTAGAGAGAGTTCTAGTAACTATAGATAAGGACAGATACTAAGAAGTATGTTTAAGGCTGTAATAAATGCTAAAGAACAAAATCCCTGCACACTATAAGACAAAAGGCATTACATCCTCATAATACACCTGCTGAACCTTAGTAGGTAATATCTGTCAATTTAATTAGAGAATTGCCTGAGTCTAAGGGATTTAAGACTATCTGTGTTATTGTAGATTGTTTCTCTAAGCAAATACATACTCTTCCAACTACTACAAAGGTTACAGCTGAGAGAATGGCTAGACTGTATAAGGATCAAGTCTTTAGACTCTATAGATTACTTAGGAAGATTATACATAACAGAGGACCACAATTTGATACTAAATTCATAAGGGAACTTTACAACACTCTTTATATTGAAGGGAATCCCTCTACAGTATATTATCCTCAAACTAATAGTCAACCTGAGTGTATTAATCAAGAGATAGAACAGTATCTCTACTTATATATTGACTATAAACAGTCAGACTGGGTAGAATGGATTTCTATAGCTGAGTTTGTATATAACAATCAAGAACACTCTGCTACAAAGTTCTCTCTGTTATATGTTAACTCTAGAAGACACTCTGTAGGCTTTGGATTGGTTTTGACTGAGACTGGTACATATTCTATTAAACAATAAGCTAAGTATATTAAAGATGTTTAGGAACTTGTAAAGAAAAGCCTGAACCAAGCTACTAAAGCTATAAAGAAGTACTATGATTGCCATTCAGGTCCCTCTATACAGTACAAGTCAGGAGATATAGTGTATTTGGACTCAAGGAACATTAAGACTACTAGACCTACTAAAAAGTTTGATGACAAGTAGTTTAGTCTCTTTAAGGTTGACTCAAAAGTTGGAGCTAGTGTATATAGGCTCAAACTACCTCAGAGATGGTCAATTCACCTAGTGTTTAATGAGATCCTACTCAAACTATATGTTCCTCAAGTCTTTAATATTCAGAAGGCTCCTTCTCCTCCTCCCTCAGAACTTGTAGATAATGAGATTGAATACAAAGTCAAGGCTATCCTTGACTCTCAACTCTACAAGGAGAAGCTTCAGTTTCTTGTCAAATGGGTAGGATACTAGGAAGCAACTTGGTAGCCTGAAAATGACCTTACTTATACTCAGGATACTGTTAGGGATTTCTACAAAGTCTATCCTAGTACTCTAAGATGACTAAACATTCTAAAAGGAACCTTTAAGGACTTTGACACTTTGCTTAGACAAAATAGCCCCTAAATTCAGTTGTCTGGAACATACAACCTAAGGAGGGAGGTGATGTTAGGATTGTAGGATTGGACCTATTTCATTTTCTTCATATTTCTATCAGTTTTGCAAAAAACCAACATTACTACTAGATTTTCATAATCCTTAACATCTTATCTATTGTTCTACAAAGTTTCATAGAGATTGTATCAGTATTGAGTGTAGGAGAGAGCTACAGAGACACAAGGTAGTGTATACAATTATGACACAGCTAATCCATTTCTTGCCCAATATAGTAACTTACACCTCTTTTGTGTAATAGCCTCTTAGTCTATATTCTTTAATGTGTAACACTCTGTTAATTCTTCCTAGCCTCTGATGTGCCTGTTGGCTTCACAATATTTGTTCTTATTATCTCTTTTATCTTATTCTTAAGTTTCATTCCTTACTTTACTCTTATTATTAAGTTATTATAAAAAGCAACCTGTAAATACAGTAGTTCCTCAGTTTTTTGACTCTTCTCATATTCCTACTTGTTCTCCTAGTATAAATCCTAGCTGGTAGCTTTGGGAATATAGTTGGTTTAAGGGCTACAGATTACATTTACAGTTTGAGAGTACTATCAATCTAGAGAATACTTCTCCCCTAACAGATCTGTCTGTAACTTATAATTAATCTATTCTAATAGACATTAGAGAAGCCTAAAAGTAAGGTGCATACTTTGCCTGCCTACAGAAGTAACAGTATATCTGTCAGATCATTAGAGTAATAATGAGTAACAAGTAGGATTTGTAGTAAGAAGCCTTTTCTACAAATCTAGAAGTCATCTCAGAACTCTTAGACTCTGACTATATACTCTAGGATTTTGTAGAGGCTCAACAGTGAATGTAGTACTGAAGGGCTATGACTCAGATTTTTTAACAGCCACTTTTGATTCAATAGACACTGTAGGATTAGGAGTAAATAAAACAGAAAAAGTAGAAAAAGTAAATAAAGTAGAAAAAGCAAATTAACAAAATTATTTATTAAAAACAAAAAAGAAAGAACAAAAGTAGATAGTTCTCTTATTTCTTCTGATTCTTTTGATTCTTCTCTTTGTACTTTATCTGAGTCTAAATCTGTACAATCCAACCTACTACCTCTGTATTCTAAGAATTCAGAATGTTCAGAACATTACTTAGCCCTGTTTACTACTCAGTAGTTTGTCTATAGTATCAAGTAGGGATAGTCTTAACTGAGTTCACAGTTGGGGACATGAGTCTGTCCTTATTGAAAGAGAGAGGTTAATAAGGAAATGTTAGTACATATACTTACTCTCTTAGACAATAAGGTTGTACAAGCTGTACATTCTCTTTAGAACAAGTAGTAATTTATCAGAGGATGTTCTGAGTACTAGCTCCAGATCCCTGTCCTCTTGGCTCCCTTCTTAGGATCCTTCCAGATTCAAACAATAGCTCTAGTAAACAGTAGATGTACTAGTTTGTACATTAATAAGGCCTTTGTGTAGGAACACTATCTTCCTACTTAATGTGTTCTACTTCTGATCCTAGTATACAATGTAGACAGAACTCTAAACCAGAATGGTTGGATTACTAAGTTTGTTCAACTACAGATGACTATTCAGGATTATAAGGAAAGTATTAAGTTCAGAGTTACTAACCTTAGAAAGACAAATGTCTTTATTAGATTTGAATGGCTCAAAGCTTACAACCCTACTATTAACTAGTTAGAGTAGACACTCACATTCAATCAGTGTCCTAAGTTTTACAAATATCTTGTACTACTGTCTTGAGTAGATACAGACACTTCTAATGTTACTAACAGTTCTAATAAAGGTAACTAGTTGTTCCTCTTTAACTAGGATAGATATGTGAACACATATTCTAGTCAAGACAGAATAGAGTTAATCTAAAGGATTTCTAAGACAGAACCAGTCTAAAACCTACTCAGAATGACTCAACTCTAGAACACATATAGGTCCAGCCTACTGGATTTTGTCTGAGAGTTCCTCAAAGTCTTTAGTAAAGAGGAATTTGACTAGCTTCCTGAATATTACTCTTAGGACTATATAATTGAGTTGACTAAGAGTTTCTAACCTAAGGATTGTAAGGTCTATTTACTCAACAGAGATAAGTAGGAAGTACTTGACAATTTCCTTTAGGAAAATCTTCAGAACAGCTGGATCCAACCCTTAAAGTCCTCTATAGTCTCCTCTTTCTTCTTTGTCAAAAAGAAAGATAGGAAGCTCTACTCAGTCTAGGATTATTGTTACCTTAATAAGGGTACTGTCAAAAACAAGTACCTACTCCTCCTGATTCAGAAGCTCATTGATAAGACACATACATCCAGGATTTTTACTAAGTTGGATGTTTGATAAGGATACAATAATATTTGAATCTGAGACAGAGATGAGTAGAAGACTGTATTCTAAACTAATTGTAGATTGTATGAACTAACTATAATGTTCTTTAGACTAACCAACTTGCTTGTAACATTCCAGTTATTCATGAATCACATTCTTACAGATCTGATTAACTTGAAGCATGTTAGTGTGTATCTAGACAACATTCTGATCTTTACTCAGACAGTTAAGTACTATTACTAACTAATCTGAGTAGTTCTACAGTAGCTCTGAGATAATAAACTATTCCTTTAAGAAGTAAAGTGTTCTTTTATACAGGAGTCAGTAGATTATCTGGGCTTCATAATTGGTAGAGGAGAGGTCTGTATGGATCTGACAAAGGTAACTATAGTTCAGAACTGGCTACAATCTTAGAACCTGAAACAGGTTCAAGCATTCCTTAGGTTTGTAAACTACTACTAATACTTTATCTAAGGCTTCAGTACTATTACCTGGCCCCTTCACAATCTTACTAGCAAAGATGTTCCTTAGTAATAGGGTAATTAGTAGTAGTCTGTGTTTGAGTCCCTCAAGCAGGCTATTACTAGTAAGCCTGTATTAGTAGTTCTGACAGTTGTAGACAAGTTCTAAGTTAAAACTGACTCTTCTAACTTTACAAATAGAACAGTACTGTTCTAGTTTATTGATAGAAAGTAGTGTCTAATAGTGTTCTAATCAGAATCCCTCTCTGTAACAGAATAGAACTACCCTATTTATGACAAGGAACTCTTTACAATTGTCTGTTCCCTAGAGGAGTAGTATTAATATCTCCTTAGTACTGTACAAAAGTTTGAAATTTAGAGTAATCACCTTAATCTCTAATACTTTTAGACACCTCAGAAGCTCAACTACTATTAGGCCTACTAGATGTTAGAACTGTAGAACTACAACTTTATACTAACTTACAAACCTGAAACATAAATGACAAAAGTTAATCTACTCTCAAGACAAGTAGGTTATAAAAAGGGGGAGAATGATAACAAAAATCTTGTTCTCCTAAACAATTCCTGTTTTGTGTCTGAGACAATCTAAGAGATCTGACTTGAATCCAAGGATGTTGACTTTGTTACTTACATATAGTAATCTCTAAGACACACACAGGACTAGGTTGTAGTAAAGTAGCTAGAGAAGCAGACTAGGGACTAGGAGGAGGATAAGGATGGACAGGTTTACTAGGAAGGCTGACTGTATGTTCTAAAGGATTGGAAGCTGTAGGAGGACATTGTCTGAGCTTATTATAATAATCTGACTGTAGAACATCCAGACTAACACAAAACATAGGAACTTATTACTCAGAACTACTAGTGGTTAGGAATACAGAGGGAAATCCTAAAGTATGTGACTGGTTGTAATATGTTTTTAACAAGCATAGTAGGAGTGCCCCAAATACTCTCTCTTATTGAGACATTAAGCAAGTGTCTGCCTTATATACTACATAGTGAAGTTTGATAGTCTGAGACATTCTATGTGTAGTAACTCTACATAAGGCAACTGGGGATTTCCTAATCCAGAGCACAATCTAATACTCCCCTTCAAGCATTAATTAAGAACTAGGACTGTATGCCTAATAGTTTGTTTAGATGCTTGATCTGTGGAACATGGAGAGCTTTTGTAAGGATGTCTGCTAATTGGTTCTGTGATTGAACATAGCATACATCAATGTAATTGTTTTGAATATAACATTGTACAAAGTCTTTTCATAAATCAAAGTGTTTAGTACAAGCATTATACATTATTTTGTCAGACTTTACAGTCTTTATTACACCTTGATTATCACAATAAATTGTAATGGGTGCCAATTCAGTCTGCAGTACTTCTTTAGCAAATCGTTTGAGCCAAATGGCTTCTTGAGTAGCATATGCCAGCACTTGCAACTCTGCTTTGTAAACAGATAGTAGTACCAGGTTTTACTGTTTGCTTGACCAGGATATGGTCGATTTAGCTAATTGAAAGACATAGCTGTTTATTACTTTATGTCCTTCTGTCATTCGTCTGTCTGCATCACAATAGCCTCATAGTTTTAAGGTGTTTGTGCTTCCAAGTTGAAGCTAGCAATTCATTGTATATTTTAAATATGTAAAGCAATGTTTCACTACTTTGTAGTGATGTGTTTGGGGCTTTTGTAAGTAGCACACTAATTGCCCAGTAATATAAGATATGTCTGGCTGTGTGCAATCTGCAACATATCTTAATGATCCTACCATATTCATGTATGGCATTGTTTCATTATTACTTTTGTTTGTATTGTACATATTGTTTGTATTGTTAGATAGATCTATTCTAGGAGTAATAGGTGTTTGTAGTGCCTTTTTGTTTTCAAAGTGGTAACACTTGATTATACTTTCAATATAATGCTTTTACTGTAAGCTAATTGTTTGTTAAGGTCTATCTCAGCTTATTTCAATACCAAGTAACCAATGTATTTTGTTACTGTCAGTAAATACAATGTGTTGTCTTAATGCATGTTTAAATGCTGTTATTATAGCAATAGTTTTGCTAATAATTGTAATATTGTCAACATGCATAAATGTTACAAGAATCGTTTTATTATTTTGTTTCTTATAAAATACAGTGTGATTGTAATTAGCTTGTTCTAATCTGATCTTAAGCAGTAGTTCAGTAATCTTCTTGTACCATTGTCTACCTACTTGTTTCAATCTGTATAATGCTTTATTTAAGCATAATGCCTGTCCAGGTTTAATATCTGTAAGTAGCCTGCCTGGCAGCAGTTTCACATAAATGAGTTTGTCCTCATTTAGTTCTCTGTAAAGATATGCAGATTTTACATCTATCTGATGTATTTTGTAGTTCTTAGATGCTGCCCAAGATAACAATAATTGTACTGTTGATAGTTTTGTTACTAGAGCAAATAAGTTGTCAGAATAGAAGTCTATTCCATTCTTTTGAGTGTATCCTTACACTACAAATTGTGCTTTTGTATTTGTCTATTCAGCTGTTAGCCAGTCTTTTAATTTTATAGACAAATTTCGTTCCAATTATATTTGTGTTTGTAGGGGGGATAGCATATATCCACACGTTTCATTGTTGAAGTGACTGTATTTCATCCTTCATAGCTTTGATCCACTGTTCTTTGTCTATGCATGTTATAGCATTGTAATACATTAATGGATTGTTATAGATTTTGTTGAGGAATTTGTTAAATTCTGTTAGATACATAACTAGGTTTATATTGTCTTTGTAATTTAAACCTATAGTTTGTTTAGCCAGTCTTTGCTCTTGTGTAGAGCATTGTATGACAGGTTCTTTATCTTTATTATTGTTATTAGGGAGAGTTTCATCATTGTTTGATGTATCACTGTTATGATTATTCTCCCCTTCAATCCTAGACATTAGTTTGTCTATGAATTGTACATTGTGTTCGACAGTAACTTTATTATCATGGCACACTAAGTGACCTTTACTGTCAGTATCATAACCTAACCATTGTGTGTATTAGCCTCTAGGTTGTAGTTTATGTGTTTGTTCATTCTGTATAATACAATATGTGCTGAATTCTCATATATTATCTATTTGATAATGTTCATTATACTGTTTGTAATATAGTGTTACAAATTTAATAGCAACTCTTAGTGTTCTGTTATGAATAAACGTTTGATATTGTACCACATATACCCAGAATTTCATAGGTAACTTTGCTGATAACAGACACATATGTACACCATTAAAGATAGTCTTATGTATACGTTCTGCAACTCTGTTCTGCTGCAGTGTATTGTGTACTGTTAATCTATGTATTGTTCCTTGACTTTCAATATACATAGTGAAGTCTTTACTTAGGAACACTGTATTGTTATCACTTTAGAGAGTTTTAACTCTTATACTGTACTGTGTAAATAGTCTCATTGTATGCTTTACATATTCAGTGAAAGCATTGCTTTTATGCTGTATAGGTAGCATAGTTACCCATTGTGTAGCATCATCTACAATAGTAAAAAGATATTTGTACTTGCTGTAAGCTTGTACTAGGGCAGGTCCCCAAATGTCAATGTGGAGATGATCTTCATAATATTGTGTAAGAGGTGTTGTTTGTATTTTTGGTATTTCATTGTGTTGTATGTTTGCTTTAATACAATCTGTACACTACACATTTTTATTGTCTGTTATCCTTTGACTTATAATCTCAGGATACTCTTGTATGAGTTTGTGCAAGTAATCAAAATTAACATGACCCATTCATCAATGTAAATCAATAATAGTGATTGCATTAATAGATTGTTTATTATGATGAGAAACTATCATATACAAGTTATTTTGTACATGTATTTCACCAATCTTTGTATGAGCAGGAGAATAAATAATACATTCATTGTTTGTTTTTGTTAAAACATATCCTGCTTTGTATAATAGTGCTTCACTAACGAGTGTGAAGTTCAGATTGGGATGATAGTATACATTTTGTATTGAAATTGTATTCACTATAGTATGCTCATTAGCTTTGTCTTGTAGTTTTATGTTAAATGTCATCACTCCACTTTTGCTAAGTGTGAATAACAATTTATTTGCAATTGTAACGTTTATTAGGGTTGAGTTCTGAACGTTTGTAAGATGGAACAAGTATGGAGTAGTGTGTAAATTTGCACCAGAGTCTAATATATTAATACAATGTATTAGTTCAGTATCATTGTAATGTATTGTATTGATACATATGTTTGGATTGTAATTGAACTCCTCAATAACTTCTTTCATATTGTCAAATGAGTTCATGAAGTTGTCTACTTGCATGACACCATCCTCTTGTACTTTGAATGCTGAGAATACATTGGATTCAGCAGATAGAGTGGATCAA